AGCTTCCAAATTTCCCTTTCCATGCTGATAAAGCCTTTTAAGAGCACAGGAAGCCAGGTTGCTCATGACTGAGGAGTATCCAGTGTTAAGGAGACAACAGCTGAGCAGGAGCAGCGCAGAGCCGTGCTGAAAGCCAAATAATTGCTGTGCTGGCCATGGGTGAGGAGGCAGCACTGCCTTCTGTAACTAACACAGGCTAGAACAAAAGCCTAGAAGCCAACTTCCTTCAACTGGTAGAAGGAAATATGTGGATGTATTTTTACTTGACAAGTGGTTTTAGTCTGTAGTTTTAAAAATTAAGTCTTCCAATTTTTTTACTTGCTCTTTGGCAGCAAGTCTCTGTCATGAACCATAGGTAGGACAGTCAATCTTATCTGCCTCAGAAAGGCTCTGACCACATGGAACCTGCTAAAGAATTGAGTCCAAGAGGATAATTTCCATGCTGATCAATAAGAGTTTGCTCAAGCTCCAAGATGCTTGATCCCTCCAAGAGATCTGGCACCTAAGAGAATGCATCTTTTGTAACTCAAAGCAACATTTTCTCAAACATGCCTACACATGTCCAGGCTCTGACCACCCACTCACATCCATAAGGCTGTCTAACAATAGTCTGTCTATGTGTGGTCTCATAGGTCTGTGAGAAAAGAGAGAGGGAAGACTTGCTCTCATTCTGCCCCATAGCTAAGATTAAAATGAGCATTTACCACATATCACAGCTTGTCCAGTACTGCAATCTCCAGTAAGGAAGTAAAGCCAGTGCAAGCTGGCAGCATAGCTACTGATTCCACTTCGCAGTAGCTCTAGCCTTCTTGGCCACTGAGTGGTCTTAGAGAGAAAATCTCCCAATCTTTTTATGCCACTGAGCACACAGAATGGACAGGAAAGCAGGCATCCTCCCTCCTTACCCATCAACAGCTCCTGCAGAGATAAGAGTATGCTCATCCTGAAACAGCACCACAGTTACACTCTGCTGGAAATCCTTAAAAAGAGAGGAAAAAAGAATTTTATTTTCTTTTAAGGTCAGCAAGATCTTGCTGCTTAGTTCAAGGCCGTGTGAACGCAGTGAAAACCTCCTCCTAGCCAGGCAGCAGAACATAGAAACAGCAGATGTCATTTAGGACACAACAATGCTTTGAACACTCCCACCAGAGAAATTGCCACTGAGAGATAAGTGTTTGGGCAGCAGTTTGAGATTACCCCTTTCAGCTCACAGATAAGAGAGCTGCCTTCATCTCGAAGTTTAATAGATGAAAAATTATCAGGTCTTCCTCCAGTAAGGCAGTAATTTATCTGGTCAAATTAAGGGGGTAAAAAAAGAAAATTACAACTCTCCCTATCTCTCTCCTCAAAATGAGAATGCTAGCCACTCTTTTCCTCCCTGGGGAGGGAAAAAAATCCCCCCTGTATTTTCACATAGCATTTGCCCAAAGCTGGCTTTTATGGCATGTGGGCTGTTAGGCAACTAAACAATGTCTAAAATTAGCCATTGTGAATGACCATGACAAAAAACTCTATCTCTGCAAAGGTAAATGGAAGCATTTACCACATACAAGCCACATATTTCTCACTACATTTACTTAGGAAGAATTCTGTGAATACCACTGTCCCCAGAAGGAACATTTTGTTTGTTGCCCAGATACCCACCACCAAGGGAGCAAGTCCTCTCAGGTTCTGCCTCCTCTTCTTCAGTTTGGAAGGAGTCTGCTTCTCAGCCACATTGTGTGCTCCACTGATTTGATTTACCTGCCTGTAAAAGCCATCTGAAAGAAATCAAAGACATCTCAATTAGTAGTTTATATGCAATTTTGCTATCACTTTAATAAAACAGGCATCAGTTTGGGATTAGACCTAAAAGGTAACTTAGGTTAACCTTTAAAATCATACATGCATCCTGAAAACAAAAATTACTTATATACAAAACCAGTGAGAAAAACACAGTGCAAAAAACTGCAGAGGTCAGTGTAGCATGAACATTGAAACTAAAACTGATCTAGGCAGACTGCCTTTGGAAATTATTACCCCTTTATCTGTTTTTCACATGCATCCCGGTCTGAGTGTTCTACCCACTCATCCCAAGCAGAACTGCACTCACTGGAAGATTTCCAGTGCTCTATTTTATAATTTCCTGTTCAGCCTTTTGTCTATTACCTTTAGAAATGTACTGCCTTACTAGAGTAAGGCGACTGTTCTACTTTTTTTTTTCCTACACCTTCCACTTCAATCATGTGGAGTCAGTCAACTTTTCATTCACTTGCCTGCTTGAAAAGCCAAGGAACCTGGGACAGATGGAAGAGCAAGACATGTTCAGGCAAAGAAACTGGTGTGGCAGAGCAGGGAACTGGGAAATGGCATAAGGGGACGGGGCTGGAGAAGGAAAAGCTCCAGGAAACAGAGGAGCAGAATGAGCTCACATATTTATAGTAGGTGCTCCCACAATATATTCAGTTGCTACCAGCACTCACAAGCTCCTTTTTCTTACATTTTCTGCCTTCCTTTCTACTCTGGCAGGAGCCTTTCCAGCTTTTCCTCACCCCTCTGGATGGCTCTGACCTAAGCAATCTCTCCTATCTCATCTGCTTTGCACTGCCCTAGCAGGGATGTATTCTATACAGCCTCATGTCTTCACCTACACACATGGAATTCTCAAACCAGCCTGTGGTTTGATGCTGCACATCATCAACTGCTGCAAAGTAGAGAAATGTCTTATACATATATAACAGAGATACCTATTCCATTCTCTTACAGCACCTAAAGCAGTAAAGTTATCTGAGAAGCCTCTGCTGCCTACATTGTAATTAAAAGTATCAGTCCAACAAGTCCATCTGAGCAGTCCTTTTACACGAGATACCAAGCTTTGTTGATACATATTTGAAAGTTTATTTACCTTTCTTGTTGCACCTGGTATCCCAAACCATGATGTTTCCATCTCTCCCTCCAGTACAGAAAACAGCTGCAAGAAAAAAAAGTGTTATTACCTTCTAAAAGCATTCATTTAATTAACTGAATGCAGTACAATGCACCTATGTACCTCTGGCTCTTCTGTCCCAACACTTGTGATGCCAGTCCCGGAAATATAAAACTCAGGCCATTGTTTTTCCATGCTTTTTGACTTGCTATCTTTCCCTTACTATCCTTTTCTTACTCCCACTAGAGAAACCAGCTCATGGAGAGTATATTCACACGCTTGGGTATGGAAGCAGATATCCTATCTTTGCCCAAGATCAGCAATGTGCTGATTTTAGCATAAGGACACCATCGAGTTCTAACTAGACAGTTTTGCTTTCCTGGCTGGGTCACTGCTCAGGCCTGTGCTATTGGTACCCGTCAGTTTCCAAAGCCCTTTTTCAGCCCTTAAAAGTACTTTGCCGGGGGTAAAGAAGGAAAAAACAGACAACAGGGAATACCAACATTTACCTTTCTCAAATCTAGAAAAAGCAACTGACTTGAGGCTACACTGGTGACCTTTGCATATGCCAAGAAGCTCGCCAGCTCTCACATCCCACACCTTGGCTGTCTGATCTCCTGAAGCAGTGACCTTCAGAGGGAAAAATAAAAAGCTTAAGTCATTTTCTGTACAGAGGTGCCAAGGCATTAAATAAAAGAGATGGCAAAAGACTACTTACAATCCTGTGTTCTCCTGGCACCCAGGCAAGGTCAAACACAGCATTTGAGTGAGCCTGCCATTCTAACAAGAAAACAAAAGCCAAGATTAGTTCAGTGCATCGCAGCATGGTATTTTGCAAATGACATCTGGATTGTCATGAAATCAGAAATCTTGTCAACAGTTTGCCTTAGGCATGAAAGACAATACAGAACAATTCATCTACTACTGCAGTAAGAGCACATTGTGTTGCTGCTTTGTAAAGAAGATGCAGTAAACTATGCAGAAGGAATAAAGTACTGCCTAAAATTTCCGTTTTAAGGACTTGCAAAAAGCTCTCTTTGATTCCAGCAAGTCCCACATTTGTCACGTCAAATGAAGATCACCTTCTATACATTTACCTTTAAAGATTAGCTTGCTGGTGGTCTGTGCTTCAGTATCATACAGTCTAACAAACCCTTCTTCATTTGCAACTGCCAGGACGTGCTCCAGATTTGGGGCTGCAAAGAAATTGAAGCATATTATATTATGTAGCTAATACAAAATCCTACCCTTGCTTTTTGTGAAAGCCACAGATGTTTTAAATAGGGAATGCAGCAAACATAAAGCTGTGAAATAAACAGCATTTACATAGCAACCTAACTGTAAAAATACAGAAATACTAGCAAGCATTTTTTCTAGATGTGCCGTTCTGGAATGACTATACATGGGCAATCAAATTACTCCAGAAACAACTTTTGAGATAATACCTCTTCCACCAGCTATAGCAGTTTTCTAGTTACAGTTTCCTATCTCTAGAGTACCTATCATCTACAGCCTCCAGCATTTTCCATGATCTGACTTGGAAAAGAAGGAGGCCACCTTAGAGAAATGTAAAATCTCATGCCAAAACTAGAGTACAATGAATGAAGAAGTTTTGCCCTAAAGATCCAGGAGCTCCATTGCTTACTCCTTTCCCCCATCATGGGGAAATGCTGTGTGTAACTCCTGGTGACATCCATCCACCTCTGATTTCTACCTAATGTTCTCCACCCTATTATAGTTTTTAGATATTTTGAATAAAGCCTAGTTTTTCGCCTATGTAGGCTCACACTATCTCCAAGAGGACATGCCTTGAAGCACACACACAGATGAAACAAAGAGACACTAAAATAAATGCTTTATAGTTGCTTCTTTGAGGGAATACTTTCCATCAGTATCTAGGTGCACCACGATCCAAAGTTTATCACGTGTAGGAGCAAGCAGGCTGCAGGAGCAAGCTCACTTTAAAACAAGAAACTGCTGAAACAGAACCTATACCCTGGCCCCTCAAAAGATCATTCAGGAGGTGAATTTACCTGTAGAAAAGGTGCAGCCGAAAGGAGGGACTGGCATTCCCGTTCCCCCGTACGACAGGTGGTCATCTTCTCGGCTGCACTGGTAGCTGTCCAAGAGATGCTGCAGGGGAAGCGCTGAGGACCGACCTACAACGGGACAGACGGACCGTAAGCGCCTCAGACCCCACAGGCTCGGGCGCCACGAGCCGCAAGGCGGCCGCCGCGGCTGTGCGGGCGGCCGGGGATGGATGGGGAAGGGAGGGCGTGCGGGAAGGCGCGGGACCGGCGGGGAGGCGCGGGACCGGACGGGAGGCGCGGGACCGGCGGGGAGGCGCGGGACCGGACGGGGAGGCGCGGGACCGGACGGGGAGGCGCGGGACCGGACGGGGAGGCGCGGGACCGGACGGGGAGGCGCGGGACCGGACGGGAAGGAGCGGGACCGGACGGGAAGGCGCGGGACCGGACGGGGAGGCGCGGGACCGGACGGGGAGGCGCGGGACCGGCGGGGAGGAGCGGGACCGGCGGGGAGGCGCGGGACCGGACGGGAGGCGCGGTACCGGACGGGAGGCGCGGTACTCACGGGCGGGCGCGGCGGCGGCGCGGCGGAGCAGCGCGCGGCACAGCATGGCCACGGGGACACGGCCGAGCCAGCTCCCGCCAAACCACCGGCCCGCCAAGCGCGCCGCGAGCCCTCATTGGTCAGCGGCGAGCGCGCCGCGCCTCGCCCGCCTCCTCTGATTGGGCAGCGCGGGGGCGGGCGGGCCGCGCCCGCCGCCGGCTCCCGCGGCCGCGCCGGGCGGGCGGGGCCGGGCGCGCGGCTGCGCGTGCGCGGACCGGCGGCGAGCGGCAGCCATGGCGGCCAGCGCCAAGTCCTTCCTGGCCGACGCGGGCTATGGCGAGCAGGAGCTGGACGCCAACTCCGCCCTCATGGAGCTGGACAAGGGTGGGCCCGCGCGGGCTCGGCATTGTCGCCGCCCCGGGCAGCGGGGCTGGGGCGGGGGCTCCGCTTGGCAGCGCTTTGTGCAGGGCGGGGGGCGGAGGAAGGAGCCGGGGCTGTGCGGTGATTCCTGCTGTCTCCTCTAGGCCTCAGGTCCGGCAAGCTCGGGGAGCAGTGCGAAGCCGTCGTTCGTTTTCCGAGGCTCTTCCAGAAATACCCGTTCCCCATCCTCATCAACTCGGCGTTCCTGAAGCTAGCCGATGTTTTCAGAGTGGGGTGAGTACTGCCCGCTCGAGCCTGCTCCGTGGGAACGCACTGTGCCTTGGAGTGTGGCTGCGCTGGGATCTGGCATGGCCTGCTTGCCTGCCAGCACCGTTCTGGTACCCAGTCTGTTGCGGCTGTGCTTGATTGGAACTTGTTTTCCCCTTCTTTAGTGGGCTTGAGTGGCTGTGAGTGATGACACAGTTCCTTTCCATCTGTCCTGATTTGAGGATTCTCTCTCTGACTGGGTTAAGTTCACTGGTGTAAGTTTTGCTCCATAAGCACATTCAAATCATAACTCATAAATGGATGGATGATCACGTGTGCCAATTTTAATCTAACAAAGCTCACAAAGTATAGCTTTTCCAAGTGCCTGGTGTCTGAGTGATGTACATAATGTAATCAAAACTCCTTCTTAAAAGCTTACAAAGGTGTATTCTGATGCTGCGGAATCTTCACTCTTGCCTTCAGGAAGGAAAATAAATTTGCTCAGCACTTGACAGTGGTAATTAAGACTTCTCTGTCTTAGTCTTGAATGTGTTTTTCCAGCAGATCTGGATCCCTGTGTGTGCACAAAACGGGCATCCTTACACCCCTCCTCACTGGTGTCAGCAAGTTCATTTCCCTGGAACTAGGCTTTAATTTGACACTACCTGAAGTAGAAAATAAAGCAATAGTATGTTAATAGTCTCTGTTTTACTCTATCAGTCTACGCAAATGTTTCTAAAGCGTTGATATCTCCTTGTTTTAATTTGCTCCAAAAGTTGTAGTTAAATAATTTTAGTATTTAAAGTACTTGAATTTTTGTTTCAAAATAGCCTGACAAAGAAACTTATATGTTTTCTAACAGGAACAACTTCCTGAGGCTGTGTGTGCTGAAAGTTACTCAGCAGAGTGAGAAGCACTTAGAGAAGATCCTAAATGTGGATGAATTTGTCAAGAGAGTTTTCTCAGTAATCCATAGCAATGATCCGGTTGCTCGGGCTATCACACTGCGGTATGTATGGCATGAGTGATCTGACTTACTTCAAATCTGGTGAATGATTCTGATTTACTTCAAACCTGTAGGTCTATCAATGTGCCTGTCTGGAATAACAAGACCAAATGCAAGGCATTGCATCTGGGCCACGGCAATCCCTGGTGTCAGTCCAGACTGGGGATGAACAGACCAAGAGCAGCCCTGCCCAGAAGGACTTAGGGGTGCTGGTGGATGAAAAGCTGGACATGACCCAGCAATGTTCACTGGCAGCCCAGACAGCCAAATGTGTTTTGGGCTACATCAGAAAGAGCCTGGGCAGCCAAAGGCCAAGGAAGGGGATTCTGCCTCTCTGCTCCCCTCTGCTGAGACCCCTCCTGCAGTGCTGTGTCCAGCTCTGGGGCCTCCAGCACAGGAAGGACATGAACCTGTTGGAGGGAGTCCAGAGGAGGCAACCGAGGTGGTTAAAGGGATGGAGCACCTCTCCTGTGAGGAAATGCTGAGAGAATTGGGATTGTTCAGCCTGGAGAAGAGAAGACTTTGGGGTGACCTAATTGTGGCCTTCCAGTACCTGAAGGGAGCCTACAAGAACGATGGAGAGCCTTTAGTGATAGGACAAGGGGAAAAATGGCTTCAAACTGAAAGAAAGTAGGTTTAGATAAGATACTGAGAAAAAATTCTTTATTTTGAGTGTGGTGAGGCACTGGAACAGGTTGCCCAGAGAAGTTGGAGGCATTCATGGATGCTTCATCCATGAAACTGTTCAAAGCCAGGTTGGATGGGGCTTTCAGCAACCTGGTCAAGTGGAAGATGTCCCTGCCTATGTCAAGGAGTTTGGAACTAGATGGTCTTTAAGGTCCCTTCCAACCCAGGCCGTTCTGTGATTTTGTGAGTTAAATAAAGGAGGCTTTTTATACATTGCTCATAGAGTTAAAAGCAGAAACATCTGTCTTTCAAAGGCATGAATGATAAGGATTGGTAATAACAAGGACAAGGTAGTAACCACTTGTGATGGTAAGAATTTTGTGAATAAGTAGAACAAGGTTATTAACCATTTATGATGGTAAGAATTTTGTGGATGGTCCCAGGCAAAACATAATTTGCAGTGTTGAAATTTTATGTACACCAGAGAAGAAAACTGAATCTGTTGTATGCATAACCCAGACAGGAGCTATATGTGATATATCTCATCTTGCTAGGATACTTTTAGACCAAGTGAAAGTGCTTCCTTTTGTGTCAAAATAGTTTTTGTTAACTTGCAACCAAAACTTACATGAACCTTGTTATGCTTGCACTATGCTCTTCATTCTGCCTTGTCCTAGCTAGAACTGCTAGATGATCTCTGATCAATAACTTCTAAGGAAATGCTGTTATATTACTGATTGCTTTGAACTTCTGGGAATCAAATGGGAAAACAAAATTAATCTGTCTTTCATGTCATTGTCCTGCTGGTTTGGTGACTGTGTCTCTAATACTATCCAACATGATCCTCTTAACTGCATTTTCCAGCCCCTGTGCAGGTGAATTCAAATGTGAAGAGAGCACTTTCTTTCTTTATATTCTTTTTGTGCCTCCATCTGGAACTGTTACTGCTGGGAGATGGGGAATCATTAACAGAGCTTTGATTGATGAGGTCAAGTGTCCATTTCTTTTTTCTTTCAGTATTTCATTTGAGGTTATGCTTTCATGCCCTGGTGTCTCAGAAATCTGTAAATACAATATGTCTGCATGGTTTTTTGTAGTTCCTCTTCAGTGCTCTAATATAAGATTGCAGTTGTTGACTGGCATTGAGGGTTATCTTCACAGGCTGCTACAAGTCCCAGGAATCCTCTCAGTTTGCATAAGTACTTTAATTACTGAATTCACAGGATGCATCAAATAAAATGTTAAAGTAGCTGTCGGTTCAGCAGTTTCAGTTTAAAATCTTTTGTTGATTTATTTTTTGGGCCTCCTTGAATAGTGTCAATAAGGAAGAGCATGTTGAAAGAAGGAGCTGCTTAAACAAAACTTTGTCTGTGGAATTTTATTGCTAGATAACTGTAAATATTTGCACAGAACTCTAGCTAAAATTACCATCAATATAAATCCTACATTTATTATTCTTTTAATTGGATTGTGCTAAATATGCCTGTAAGCTCTCTTTGAAATATTTTTAGCAAAGTATAGGTTGATTTGCTGCTTTTTTAGCAGTTATACAAAAAGTGTTGCACTTTTTTCATTAATTACCTTATCTTACATCAGTGAAAGATGTTGGAAATAAATCATGCTATATGCTCTTAATTTTAAAAGAATTTTTGTTAGGTTTTTCACTGTGCCAATTTCAAGCTAAAAGGTATCAAAATGTAATTAAATTGTATCAAACCGCTGACACAACCCACACAACAAAATCTGTTACATTTAATTAGATGCTTAATTTTAGTAATTGCTTGTTTCTGTAATAGTCATGAAAGAGCACATATTTATATAAACATAGCCTTTTAACCAGTATTTTTTACATTTTATTTGGTTTCATTATTTCTTCATGATCACTGTTCTTCCTGATTCTGCTGTGATTTATTTCTGTAGGATGTTGGGCAGCATGGCAACTATCATTCCAGAAAGGAAGAATGCACATCACAGTATTCGCCAGAGTTTGGATTCCCATGATAATGTGGAAGTTGAAGCTGCAATATTTGCTGCTGCCAACTTTTCTGCGCAGTCTAAGTAAGAACTGTTTTTTTTTTTACTTTTTCACATTACAGAGAATGGAAGCTCCATTAACACTGGCATTCACAAACCTTACTATTTTCTGTTGTGCTGTCCTTTATAGAAAACAATTATGTGCAATAATGATGTAAGGAAATCTGAATACAAGTTCAGCAGATTTTTCTTTCCGTAAAATGGAAAGCTCTCAATCATGATTAAATCTGCTATTCTAGTTCTCAATCTCATAGAATTATTTTACAGAAATTACATTAGGAAAATGTAGTGCTGCTTGTTAGTTTTTGAATGCCTTCATTTTCTCATTTGGTCATGCCTGTGTGCAGGGGTTCTGAAAAGACTTAGGTTTTGGCAGGTACTCTTTTGTGTAACTTTTAATTGTGTTTGGTAGTTCAGTCAAATTTTTTTTTTTTCAGTTTTTAATTACTTAATTTTTTGTTTTTCATTTCACCTGGTACTTTCTTTTCTCTGCAGGGATTTTGCTGTTGGAATATGTAATAAAATCAGCGAGATGATTCAAGGTACATGTGTATGTTGAATGATAAAGAGGAAAAACTTTAATTTCTCTGAAAATTCTTCATTATTCATATTTACATATTAGATTATATTTATTATATTTACAGAATGCTGTTGCCCTTAGATTATTCCAGTTTTTAAATTAGCTGACCAATAGTCTGTCTGGTTATCTTAAATCCTCCTAAAATTTAAGTTTTCAAAGCACCTGTTTGGTACAGAATAAAAGCCCATCTGTA